GTTCAAATACTATGTGGAAGTTGTTAACTAATGTCTGATACACAGTTCAAATACTATGTGGAAGTTGTTAACTAATGTCTGATACACAGTTCAAATACTATGTGGAAGTTGTTAACCAATGTCTGATACACAGTTCAAATACTATGTGGAAGTTGTTAAATAATGTCTGATGCACGCTTCAAAAACGATGTGGAAGTTGTTAACTAATGTCTGATACACGCTTAAAAAACTATGTGGAAGTTGTTAACCAATGTCTGGTGATACTCTGTCTGACAAGTGTGCATTTTAGAATAGCAATAAAAAGTGTTATCCATTGTAAAATGCTCCAAAAAATTCTCTAATGCCAAAAGCATACCCCCAGTCTCTGCAAAATATTTATACTTCATCTAATGCACGAGAACAATGTTTTTTTTGACACTTGTTTCAACAGACCGATCAAACAGAAATTTACAGCCACTGTTTTCGGCGACTTGGCCGGTATGTCTTCGTATAGAATAGCACGAATAACCTTTTCATTCTCCAGCTGTTTAAGGTATTCGACTGTGGAATGAATATGCCGTGGAAGCAACTTTTGTACACGTGACTTGCGTCCAGACAGTCATACTTCTTGATTGTGTCACGTGATTTGCGTCCAGAAAGTCATACTTCTTAATTGTGTCACGTGACTTGCGTCCAGCCAGTCATACTTCTTGATTGTGTATGGTGTTGTTACTTGGGGCTTACATGGACGGCTTTTGCCACTGACTCTTGTGTTCGTGTGCTCCCACCTGTTACAAGACATCACACTTTGCTTTCCACGGCTAGGGTACGACTTAGTACTAGTCTTTTTCTGTATGGTTCTTGTTCCCCAAGTTGATCCATATTCATTTGTTTTACAACCATATTAACTACAAAGGATATCCCCTATTGAAATCTATAAATCCCCGATCCTTATGATCTGAGTGTACGAATATCTTGTGTTGGAAAAGGTTATTAAATACTCCTCCCAAAAGCGATAAAGTTTCGGTGGTATAACACCACCTAAGAGCGCCAAACGATATCAAAATGTAATTATGATACATTCCATTCCACCGCGATTTTATATCGACTGTGGTTTCACGTGGCTTGTTGATTTCAATATTCAAAATCGTTTTAATATAACATACCCAACCTTCTGTATTTGCTCATTAAATAAGATGCAAATTTTTGCAACGCTAAAACTTATTCTTATTCGCAACTGGCATATAGATTTTTATTGATGACGATAAAATGCACCCTTATAATATAAATGTTTATATATATTCGAATCCAATTACTAAATCACCAAAACAAATTGTTTCTGTTGAGATACGCAACAATGTTACCAAAGACCTTTCTTGCACGACAAGTAACAGAGTCATTCTGAAAACAGTGTAAAAAATTCAACCATCAGTATGTTGTACAAATCCTGTCAACCTCGGAGTAATGCTTGAATGATCATAAATCTTTTTCATTAACCAAGAAGATCCTTCAAGGATTTTGATCATTCTTTTCTATCAACGATCCTCATGGAATTAAAACTATGTCTAACTCAAATGCAGATAAGGAAATAAAAGGGGTAACTGGATTAATACTTTGATTAACGGTAATCACACTGTTGCCAAACACGACTTTAACATCAAGATTCTCTGTTAATAAGAAACTATATATTAACTATATACATCTCATTTATTTCAGTTATATTCTACTGCCCGATTTTTCTATCTTGTACCTTTGGAAGGAATTTTTACTTTTTTCGTTTTGTTTGTGGAGTTCACAGTTGTACATTCGTGGCTTTAATCTTTAATTAGCTACTTACAAGCCTTCATGTCCATTTCCGAGAATAAATGGATTGAAACATGAAAATATGGATTTTCTGCCTAATTACTTTGGCAAACAAAAGAAAATTCCATCCTCGAAGAAGATAAAAAAAAGCACAAAATTATTGGAATTAATAGGATTCTTATGTTCAAAAACAACAACAAAAAATACTTACCAACTTATCAGACTTTTGTTATAGTTTGTGTTTGCCGATACGATGGAGAACTTCAAATATAAAGATACAAACATGTGTAGTTTAGGTTAGTTTAAAATATATAGGTTTTTTTTATTGATAGGTAATTATCACAAAACAATAAGGCAACTTTCAAAATACTGATAGATTTTATAAGTTCAATATTCTTTATTGGATTTTGTGATTTTTGCGTCAGTTCTTTGTATATTGTTTTGACTTACTGGTTTATCTCAGAAAGTTCGTTTTCGATTTAGCATTATTATTATATATTTTCTAAATTTTATTTTGTATTTTCTTTCTTATATACAAATTTCTTTGTTTCACTAGGTCTTCACTCCTTTACAATCCGTTCGTTACATTGAAAATCAACCAACCTATTTACATCATTAATACGCATTCTTATTTATTGTGAAAGTAAGCCAATGATAACAAACAAAAACATAACTTCACACAGATCGCACGGTGAACTTTTACTTGAATATCCCAGCTTACTCTTCACAAGGAAGGTTAATCTTCCGAAAACGTTTGGATTATCAAGTTTCTGTTATTGTGAATGGCTCACGAAAATGTTTCAGCAACGCAAAAAAAAATATTAAAAAATAACACACACACACACATATATATATTATAATTTACTATTTAAAACAATTAAATATATTTTATTTATTTTTATGTCATCATATACAGGTCCTGAAGTCCCTGTGATTCTCGTTGGAAACAAGTCAGACCTGACTGCTGAGCGGAAGGTGCAGAAAGAGAAAGCACAGCAGACTGCGAAAGATGTAATGAACAACTGTCGGTATATTGAAACTAGCGCCAAGTACAACCTGAATGTCTCGGACCTTTTTCAAGAATTATTGCTACAGGCTAAGGCGAAGGAACAACCCCCCAACCCTGACCCATCAGACCGTCGATACTCAAGACGTCTGAGTCGACGTCTTAGTTCTCTGGGTTCTTTGCCCGGGCTCAGTCTCAGACGCAGGTCCAGCGCTTCGAGAATTTCGACCAATGGCGACTCAAAGAGGCAAACCCAGAAATGTATTTTGTTGTAAAATAAAGAATACAAGCTGAAAATTTAAAGAGAATTAAAATATATCCGCAAGATTAAGAACTCATAACTTCGACGAGTATCGTCTAAATTCAAGGGAAGAGTAAAAGGAAGTTCTAATTACGTTTCTCGTGAAATTTACACGAGGTTATGATTACACACGGGTTAAAGAATAAGTAACGTGTTTTTGTTTTTTTTAATTTAATAGAATCGTATTATTCGAAAGCGTGTGAGAAAGTATCGTGAAGACATTTTGTAAGATTAAAATGGTCTTTGAATAAATGTGAATTAAATACATCTCTTCTGTTTTCTAATTAGATGATACGTTCATTGTTAATGTGTATTCTTAAAAAAATTATGTACGTGATGAGCCTTTCAGTGTCTAGAAATCGAACAATTTTTAATAACACCCACAGTCATAAAAATCACTACTGACTGCAGAGATATTTACTTCAACCAAAGAAATCGTGCTGTGCCTCTCAAAATACATTGTACTGAATTAGAAAACACCATGAGTTATATTATATTAATCGTCTAATACAAATGAACATTTGGAAGTAATTACTTTAAATACTTAATAAACATTTTTATTATCTTTCTATCTACGAAACTGAACACACCCATCCACGCTTTGAAACTGAAACTGACAGTACAAGATGGACCTTTTAATCAACTTTAATAGGTTTCAGTTTTCTCTTCCGAAACATGACAAATGCTGCTCAACAGAACGAAGTGATGAGATTTCTCGATAATGTTAAACAGCATTTTGTCCTTTAAGAAACAGTTGGTGTAATTAGAAACTGACCATCTGATTAACGTTTTGAGTTAACCGTTGGCTTGTCACTTATTGCTTCAATTTATATTCAAATGTACGTGTAAAGGCTTTTATTAAGCTTGACAGGGGTTTTGTGGTTCTGTTTAAGGTAAATTACCTGTACTTTGTACGCTTAATTAAGGGCACACAGTTTATAAAAAGCAATGTATTAACAAACGAAAAACAACAAGAAGTAACATTCGTTGAAAAGTGGCAACTGATAATTTTAATTTACCACAACACACTTCAGAATTTAAAGTAATTTTTACTATGAAGTGAGCCTTCTTCGCCGTAGACATGAGACAGCATTTCCTGAATGGTCAGGTTATTGACCCAACCTTGACTTCCAAGCTAGTGTAAAGGGGGAAGGGGGGTTAACCGGCTTGAGCGTGCTGTGTCACGTGTACACGTATCCAAGCTTATAAATAAAAACCTCAATTTTAACACGGATTTTAAATGAGAACCTTAAACATACGATGGTTCTAGTATTACTCTTGTGCTCTTAAATACGTGGTGTCGATTCACACAAAAAAAAGGACGGTGTAGCATACACAGAGAAAAATGCCCAGAAAACTAGCAATATATATATATATTTGTTAAGCAGTCAGATAGGAAAATGAAATTAAGAGTGAGAACAGGCTCGTCCTTGTATTTGAACCCAACGCCATTTACAGGAGCCCAAATAAGCTGCTATTTGAGGTGAACATTGAAAAGTGAAAGTAGAAATACGAGCTTTATAAATAAAACAACTTTATCTTAAGCCTTACGTAAGATCTTAAATAATGTTCATCCAGCCCAATGTATCTAATCAAGCAAACTTCCTGACTTGACCCAGAGTTCAGCCAGACCAATGTATCTAATCAAGCAAACTTCCTGACTTGACCCAGAGTTCAGCCAGCCCAATGTATCTAATCAAGCAAACTTCCTGACTTGACTCAGAGTTCAGCCAGCCCAATGTATCTAATCAAGCAAACTTCCTGACTTGACCTAGAGTTCAGCCAGCCCAATGTATCTAATCAAGCAAACTTCCTGACTTGACCAGTTCAGCCAGCCCAATGTATCTAATCAAGCAAACTTCCTGACTTGACCCAGAGTTCAGCCAGCCCAATGTATCTAATCAAGCAAACTTCCTGACTTGACTCAGAGTTCAGCCAGCCTAATGTGCTTGTCCTCGTTTTCTATGCATTACATTATCATTCGTTAAAGTTCTTACATTTCCGTTTTGATCTTATTCTAGAATTAATTTACAACTTTGATTAATTTGTATTGGGTTTTGGCATTTTATATTTGAATGCACAAAGTTCATAAAATGTTAAGGCAGTACTATGTACTTAAAGTAATTAAAACAGAATCTGATGGCTGTGCCGGGCGTCTCAACGACTACGAGATTCAACCCAAGTGCATTAAACCTATTACACAATACGTGGTACCCACCAAATATCTCTAGTACAAAGGAAACTTTAAGTCGGATGTTCTGATCAAAAATGACAAACCGATCGACTTATCTAGTAAGAGACACCAGATCTAGCGACACTTTCAAAATCTGGATATCAAAACCTAACAGGGTGACGATAATGGTGTATAAACAAATGAAGAAATTCACACACAAAACCGTAATACATAAACACTACTGTCTGAAGTGGGGACTTGAGAGATGACAGATCCATTCCTCAATTATATTTCCCTTTGTAATGCATAGTACTATCTACACCCACCCCTCCCACACCCATATGATACCCCTCCAACACCTATGTGATGATGCCGTCCGTACTTCTCTATTTCTAATTTAATTTTTACATAGTTTAATGAAATTTAAAAAAGCTTCTCATGCATGCACACGCGTTAATCTTTTTAATTATATAGCTATGTATATAAGTGTTAAATAATAATGTACACAGTCAACATGGAGATTGCTAGTAAATTAACAAGTGATTTAAAGGAGTGACTTTGTGAAAAGATTGAGTTTAACGGGTTCCAAAAAATTAAAGGTTTTTCTCTTTCATATTTGTCGCTGTCTGTTCTGTGTTTTTTTTTTTATGAAACGTAAGGACACAGCTCATAGTTTAGAAAAACAAAAACAATCATTAAGCAAAGAAAGAAAAATCAAGAAATATTCGCGGGCGTTAATTTATCATGTCATACTAACAGTGAAGCGTGAAATATGACATCTTTTATTACTTGCTCATGTAATTTTTATAATTCTGCCAACCTTCATCCTTTAATTTTCTCAAGTTTGTTTGTAGTTAAACACAAAGCTACACAATAGGCCCTCTGTGATGTGCCCACCTCGAATATTGAAACCCGGGTTTTAGCGTTATAACTTCGCAGATATGCCGCTGAGCCACTGGGGGGCATTTTCGACAGACAATAAAATTGCAATCTTGAAAAAAGAAGACGAAATTACGTAGCTCTATTTTAGAACAAACACTTTTTTTTTTCTATTAGTTAATTTATAGAAGCGATATCAGAAGGTAGTTAATTTTTAGACTCGTGATACGTTTATAAAGATTATATTTTGATAAGATTGTTTATAACAGACAGGAGGTATGCCATATTATTTGTTAACAATAACGTTTTCTTCTTATTTACCTGACATTGATTTATTGAGGAATATGAAAGTAATCTTAAGAAGCACATCATAAAACTTAGACTATTAAAACATCTTTCACATAAAAACCAAAGTCACTGAAGTTCATCGTAATGCACTGTAAAAAAAAATCGTTATTAGGGGTGTATTTTTTCTACTCTTTTCTCTTTTTAATTATAGTACAAACTAAAGCAATCTTATTCCAATGAGTTCAGGATCTCAACCTTCAGATTTAATTTCCCAACGTTTCGGCTATGCTACACCTTTATTAAAAGGAGACCATATTGAAGAACTGTAAAAATCTGGCTTCTTCTGTTACTTAAATACTTTTTTGTAAATAATGCTAAGCTTTTGACTTTAAACAAAATTGTGTTGGATGTGAGTGAAGATTATTTAAGGGGGTTGTCTGTGCTGAACGATGGGGTTAATCTGGGTAAACGTCGTGGTGACTATAATATTTACGACCCCACAGAGAGACATATACTGTTTTTCTATTGTTTCTTCTTCCTTCTTTCTTCTTCTTCCAAACATTTTACGATCGATCGTCACTCTTGGTCAAATACACCTAGACGTTTTGATTTCAGCATTTTAAAGTTTTTTTAGGATTAAAGGTGAAATAACCCCAAAATCTATATTTTGGACTCCTGTGCGGTCATATTTCCAGCAATCAAGATGAAAAGCGGCACAAATATAAATTTTCATGTGACCAATACATTGACTTATAAAAAGTTGGATTTGTTCATTTTGGGTGTTTTTAATGGGATCAGAGCTCACAGAAAAATATAATTTTGGGGGTTTGGTCAATTACTCAGTCATATATTGACCAATTTACATGGAATTTGGTACAAAGATAGTTTTTTTTACAGTGTGTTTGTGTGTGTGTGTTTTCTTAGAACAAAGATACATTAGGCTATCTGCTGTGTCCACCGAGGGGAATCCGATGAACCCCTGATTTTGGCATTGTAAATCCGAGGACTTACCGCTATCCCAGCAGGGAGGGGGTAAAGGTTAAATAAACCCATAATTTTAGTCTTGTTTTGACGAATTTACATGGAATTTAGTACAAAAATACTCTTTGCAGGTCCCAAAAAGAAATATAGACAATTTTAGAGTTTTTGTCTTTTGTTTAATTTCTTAGCGAAGAAAGCACAATTTGGGGTTTTCGTGAATTATTTACGTGTATGTCAACCAAACTACATGGAATTTGGTACAAAAATATCCTTTTTGCAGGTCCGTTTGTTTGTTTGTAATTAAGCACAAAGCTACATAATGTGCTATCTATGCTCTTCCCACCACGGGTATCGAAACCTGGATTCCAGCGCTGTAAGTCCGCAGACATACCGCTGTGCCACTGAGGGGGGGGGGCTTTTGCAGGTCCCAAACAGTGATATAGACGGTTTTCGATTTTTCTGGTGTCAAAATTGGCCATGTTGGGACTGCGTGGCTGAGACATGTCGCATTTGCCCGCGAATGTTGACCTCTTTACTTTTAATAAATATTATTTTTTTCATGTTAATTAATTTTCAATGCTTATTTCATAAATGATGCTAAGATAATTGAAATTAAAAAAATATGTAAAATAAATTTTTTTGTATAAATTGATTTCAGCATTTTGTAAACTGAAAACACCCGGCTTAAAACAACAACTAGTGTCATAAAAAACGCAGTGCTAGGAATAACTCAAGGAAAACCAGTATTATACTGGTACTCTGTCCCTTGAAATGGGGGTTGAACACGTTTTCCCTTTCATGCCGAACCTGTTCACCTCGCCATTTCAAGTCTACCTATAGTCCCATTTAAGGAAGAGGTGTTCTCGGCCTGATCTTGACGTCTTCGCTAGCTGGAACCAGTACCTGAAGGCGTGGGCTCACACTTTACATTTGCCTGCCGAAGAAAGGCATTCTTTGAACATTATCTGAATGACAGGTCCACGTGGTTTCTCTGCCAGCTGTTCTACAAAACATTCACGTCTTGAACAGAATAGCCAGAAATTACGGCGGGACCTAAACACTGGTTCTATAATCCATAATTTTACTAGTACTCGGAAAAAATTCTTAGTGCGAAGAATAACCCCGAGGTTAACTTTGGCGAGTGGAAATTTTGCAACTCAATGAGTTACGTATTGAGCTCACCGTTGTTTTGTTGGGTATTCACCTACAAGGCGTGCTAACAGGTCGAGTTTGAAAACACTCCCTCCAACCACACCAGTATCTTCAAGTTTCGACAGGAGATAAATTCGGTACAAAAAGTTTTTGAAGATTATTATATAAACTGTATAATAAGTTTAGGAAACTAAAGTAATTTCTTTTTCGAATAGCTGTGCCAAAACAACAACGACAACAAAATGACCAGAAAACTTAAGAGATTTCTAATTCTTCTGGACAATGACAGTTTACTGTATCTCCCTGGGTCATTTCTTTCTGGCAGAGTGTTGTTGGAGTTAGAGGAGGACACCCCTGTGTTAGGTAAGAATGCTCAGTGTTTTAGCTCCATCGTGGTATCACCAACATATTCATTTTAAGTTAGTACATTTGTTTCCGCAGTGATTTTTCGTTCACTTGATAAATAAGTTACCGTCACGACTCAGTGTTGAGCTGTAAAAAGTGTTCTTACAGTAGTGAAAGCTTTGTGGTTAAAACATTATTGTCTTAGTTGATAATGTTTATAATAAGTGTGTTATATCTCATTCACTGGGATCAAAGTATATATAATCATTAACATGCGAATGAAAAACTCATTACTACAGTTATTAAATGATTTGAGATATATCATCATTATGTTTTAAAGATATTAATAATTCATATAAGATCAAAAATAAATCAGCTCTCTTATTTTATTATCATTGTGTTTTCTGCATTCACGGTATTTTAAAAGAAAATTAAAAATGACCATGAAGATAATAAGTCACTAAGTTTAATAAGTAGGCAGAACCTTATTTATTACAATTAATATTCACTACTTGTAACTGAGACATAGAAAATAATATAATTATTGGTTATTGTAGATATTCTTCCTTTTTAACTTTTATAACAGGAAATAATATGGAGGGATTTGAAAAACAAACTAACAAATAAGGTTTAAGTCATTATGTTTGAATAGAGGAAAAACGAGACAGTTGTTCGTTTCACTGATGATGTCTTTAATGACGAAACCATGGTCGTGAATGAATGATGTGTTTGTGAAACGTACAAGTTGTCTTGCTTTTCCTTAATTCTGTAATTATGTAGTTTCACTAAGTACCGACGGTTTGAAGTATCAATTATTTTTTGAGATAATTACCTCATACATTTTCCTGATGTTTATTCCAGACATTTACAACTCATGGTATCGAAACCAATGTTTCACCTTCATCCAGTTGCATAATTTGCTTATGGCATCAGTCTTCTGGAAAACTAAACTATATTTTAAAAGATCCTAATGATAACCTTGATATCAAGCCTCCAATTTCTAACAGAATGTTGTTTTTTCAATGCATCTAATATCACACAAGAGTAAACAATATCTTGAAAGATCCTACTGATTACCCTTTATATCAAAGCTCCTATTTCTAACAGAATGTTGTTTTTACTATACATCTAATATCACACAAGAGTAAACAATATCTTGAAAGATCCTACTGATTACCCTTTATATCAAAGCTCCTAGTTCTAACATAATATTGTTTTCCAATGCATCTAATATCACACACAATTAAACAATATCTTGAAAGATCCTACTGATTACCCTTTATATCAAAGCTCCTAGTTCTAACATAATATTGTTTTCCAATACATCTAATATCGCACACAATTAAACAATATCTCGATAGATCCTACTGGTTACCCTTTATATCAAAGCTCCTATTTCTAACATAATATTGTTTACCAATGCATCTAATATCGCACACAATTAAACAATATCTTGAAAGATACTACTGATTACCCTTGATATCAAAGCTCCTATTTCTAACATAATATTGTTTTCCAATGCATCTAATATCACACACAATTAAACAATATCTCGATATATATCCTATTGCCACTTTATGAAGTTACTCTCGAGTCTTGATATCAAAGTTTGCAACATCACTATAATATGTTATTCCCGATTACTTCTATTCATACAGTAAGCTTACATGTCTTCTTTTCTTTTATTTGAGAGGCCCGTAAAAAAAGAACAACAAACAAAGAAACGAAAACAAAACGCTGATTAAACGAGGCATAATATTTTAAAGATGATTTATCAGATATTGATGTGTTATCTACTGATTAATTTAATTTTTCAACTAAAGGAAACAAGCAGTCGAAGTCATCCATATGAAGCTCATTTGGTCTACTGACTTAAACCACTAATTTCATGATAACTTGAGAAAGCTTTTGACTTTAAATTTTTCACACACTATCTCTTTTTAACTGTAATTGTAGCGGTATGGGAGCTAAGACTAAAAATATGAATTTTTCTTCCAGTTTCTATAATATCGTTCGTTGGTCTCTATAACTCGATGTATTTCCTATTTAGAAAACGATAAGTTTGTGAACCTATCAAACAAAGCAAATTATTCAATCAGATGGTACTAAATGATTCTCATAATCACACGAATTCGTCAAAATTGTTTAAATATATTTTTTTAGTTTTATATTGTATGTAATATTTAGTCTTATTACTTCAACCATTACTAAACAAGCGGCCTGTCTCCCATACGGGTTTTTATCCTGAATAATAATAATATATATATATATATATATATAATTTATTGATACATTTTAGAATATAGTTAGGCTTAGAAAAAGTAGGCTTAAATTTTAAGGTTCCGGGCACTGGTTGGCCCTGCGGTAGAATTCTGGATTCCGGAGCTGGTGTGTTTGATTCGAATCCGCACAATACGACAAAATATTCCCCTCTCCTCCAGCTTTAAGCTGTGAGGCTGACTAGCTTACCTTCCCTCTGGTCACTGAAATACAAAATACAAAAATAGAAATTTTAAGATTGGAATAGTAACTCATACGCCTGGCAAAGAACATAAATCAACCTCAATGGCTAATCACTTCCTTAATAGTTTCAACAAAGAGATGTCTCTAAGCTCATGAAAAATTTAAGGAAAGTAGTGCTTACATAAAGGCATGTCATTATTTTGTGGTGAAAAAATAATGCACGTCTCTAAGGAGGCACTTATTATTTCAATAGAGCTTTAATCAATATTTTATTGCCCCCCAGAGGCACAGCGGTATGTCTGCGGAGTTACAACGCTACAAACCGGGTTTCGATACCCGTGGTGGGCAGAGCACAGATAGCCCATTGTGTAGCTTTGTGCTTAACACAAACAAACAATATTTTTATTAATATAGATTAATGTAAAGATCTAACTTTGTGAGCGGACAGTAACCATGGTTAGCGCTTACAAAACTGCGGTTAGCGGGCAGTAACCATTGTTAGCGCTCACAAAACTACGGTTATACACGCCTTTATTGTTTTGGTCATGGCATCCGCGACGTACAGAATATTTAGAAAAAAAAACATATTTCACATATTACTGAAGAAAGACTAGTTACAAAATCACCAGAAGTATCTAACTGAATTTCAGAATAACTATAGGGGTAAAAATATAAACAATTTGTGAATTAGAGTTCTTAATATGCATATATATATACATGTATATATATATATATACAAGTAGTATATCTTAAGTTCTTGTGTACTGCACCTTCGATTCCAGGAATGGACAATGTTTCGGTCCCTGTGCTAAGGTCATCACGAGATGACATAGCTACATTTATCAGGTCATTTGTATTCTATTTACATGTTAGAGGAGTTTAGAATGGCCAAAGTACAGATTAATCTTTCCATAATTGTGTAGTCCTGTCGTAGCACGTATGTCAGTGCCAGAACAGGTAGCGTGGCGCCATCCACATTACCGAACCACCAATCAGAGAGAGGCAACGAACCAGCAGCAACCACTTTTACTTCATTAGAATTAGTTAATGTTCATGATTTTTATTTGTTTTTCTTATATATTTTTATTTTCATTTTCTAGCACCAGGTATCCAATGTAAATAATACGATTTGAATAATTTTACTTTTACTACTACCATAGGTTCGAGGATGTTGCAACCGACCTTGGCACGGGATCTCCTCCCACCAACAATCTCTTCAAGGTTATTCTATTAGTAATTCACAATTCAACTTGATTTAAGTAGCATCTATTCTTTCCACGTACTTAAACGTTCGCTCCCTTTCTAGTCTTCCGTCTCATTTCCTTAAGTCTTCTAGTGTGTTCTCTGTTTTATGTTTTCCACGTTTTCTCAATATACGTGCTATTTAATTGACGATATCTGAGATCTTATCAGGTTGCTGTGACTAGCTTGGTGCGTTCTAGAAAATACGTCGTTATCATATGAGCCTTGGATGTCTCAAAGGTTTAAGTGATATTGTTTGGGCAAAACCTGCCTCCAATCTTATGATGGGCCTAGGAGGTCTGTTAGTTGTATGATCCTCTCATAATAATTACTGTTATTGGTTAACTAGACAAGTGCATCATGATATGGCCCACATTATGCTCTGGATAAACTTGATTGTCCAGTTTTGATTGCGAACAATTAAAACCCTAGATGTCCATCTCCAGATACGGTTTCTGCCTATGCAGTCACATATATTTTAACTGAACCATCAGTTGCTGTGATCATGTATATCTACTTCATGACTTTGACTGTGTTCACCAGTCCTGACCTTTCGCTTCACACTCTGCTGCTAATCTTCATTGGTCTGGACTCACTCAATACTTTTGACGTTTTACAGTATACATAACTCCTCAACATCTTTCTTGGCGTCATTGAACCACAACTTGATGAATTTCAATCTTTGCATTACTCCCTCGCTTGTCTTCTCTTCCAAGTAGTTATCCACTGAGTGGTGAGATACAGTTGTGTTACTCTGAGTAGTTCTTGGATGATTGGAATCATTTTCCTTGTAGTAATAATTCCGCAATGAAGCCAAAACGTGTAGGCTTTTCCTTTGCTATTCTCATGGGTGAATTTATCGTCTACTGTAACTTAGTCATTGCTAATTTTGAAGTTGTTGCACATAAGTAAATTCCATACTCGGTTCTGGTCAAGACTGTTGCTCTCTTCAGATTGATGAGGCTCACTTACTACACTTTCTGGGCTGAGAAGTTTGGAGTCTTTACTCATATGTTCAATATTTGCATATATTGCCATTTTGTGGCTCAGTACAACACCCAGAAAAGCGATAGAGTTCTTATGTGGGACTCTTCTGTCTGCATATCTCAGTGTGAAGATATTGGTGTCATTGTGAGATCTGGTAGCCATTATTCACTAGACTTTATCTGGTTGGATGGGCATTTTGTTATCTGTAGTCCACTGGCAGAGTTTTTCCGGTTTCTTGCAGATCCTCTACCGTTCCTATTATCATGTGTGAGATGCTTCTAATAATTATACCATCAACATATGTGTATGGTGTCACTTTGGGAGCT